TCCTCAGAAGGTACGCACAGAATCCATGGATTGAATGGTTGAAGATAATGGAATAATTATTATCCCTCATGTAAACCAGGAAGTTAAAAATAAAATTAAGTGTTTAAGCGTAAGTACTGGCGCTCACCCTTCTATCTCCACTGACATAAGAAAACACCAGTAAAAGTAAGAAAGAGACGGGCTTCTAAGCATTTTATTTGATCGGCGAATTTGTATTAAAATATTCAGCACATGTTTTGAAAGCTGAAGAGTGATTGTAGCTGTGTGACGGAAATCTAACGCGGCACGAAGCCTCCGAGCGCGCGAAATATTTCATTTCAAGCATATTTGCAGAGGACTCAAGACTTGCACTATATCCTAATTTTTTTTAAATTTGAAAAAAAGAATAGTTCGAGGATTAATGTGTCTAATACAACCGTTGTCTTGATTGTGACATGTGTCACAAGCACGGCTAACTAAACGATTAAAAACGTGAAATGACACGTAAATAAGCTCTCTGTATTTAGGCACAAAATGTAAACGAAAAATCGTCAGACCAATTGGCAATTGCTCCCAAAAGAAATGGAAGGCTCGCACGGGATTTTATTGTAGATGGAAGTAAAACCGAATTATAATTCCATAGAACACGCAATGTTGTTTTGGTTTTACGATGTTATCTATCTTTCCGTCTTTGTCTGTAATAAAATAATCAACACAAAATTACGTCATCTACTGATACGTTTTAATAGAACAATATTCGCTAACTCTGTAATTTCCAAGCCAATATTTATTTATATATTTTGAAATCACACAGTTTTAGGTTATAGGCGAATCGGCGCCGAATTATAATTAAGAATAACGTGACCCAAAATAGTTTTTTAAACTAATAATGAATAATTTGCGATACGTACAATATCAGAATAAATCTATACAAGCTTATATGATAATGGTCAGATGGCTTTTTCAATTCTATCGACGGTATTTTTTATGCATAGTTATTAAAGGCACAAAAAGTAATAATAACTTTTATTCTTCCCTTATACCAAGTATTATAATATTCCATATGAAACGTGTCACGTAAGCTGTAGATAGAAACTGGTCGTGTGTTTCGCGGTTACTAAGTGATTGGCCTGCTCCGGCCCTTCTTTATGGCTCGGTTTATAGCTTTCTGTTTAATTCCACCTAAATACACACACTTCAACAGTAACAAACTACTTGAATATCTAAGACTAAATATCTTCAAGCACATCCTATTTCACTTTACCGTAAAATTTACAATCTCGATTAATATTATGAAATTAAAGGGTTTTTCAGTTTATTGCGAGGATAACAAGAACTATCAGATATGCTATTAGCTTTATGGTGACTCGCGGCGACTAATGAGGCGGAAAGCGAAGGAGATGTGTATAAGTTACAAAAGCAAAATTAATCGTATATTTAAGAACTTTGTTTGTTCCTTGTTATGTTGATTAGTATTATTTCTCACTTTATTGACTACTAGTATAAATATATAAACCATTTCCAACCGACCATGAGTCTAACATATATCACTGTCGAGTTGAATTTTATATCTGATATGGCAGGATATATTTGTGTGTGTGTGTAAATAAATAAATGTTATAAGAAGTAAAACATGGCTTCATTTAGTAATTCAACTACCTTGTTATATATCGGAGCCTGATCTAGTATCTATATTAAGCTTTTGTCTTAAAAAGTATAAAAATGTATTTCTGAAATTAACAATGACTTCCTCTTGTTTTGTGCTACGGCTATGTTTGAGTAGACTACTATGCCGTAGCACAAAACAAGATCAGAATAGATCAGGCTCAGAGATATAGCAGTCTACACGATAGTAGAACGTTACGAAATTGTAAACGTGTACGATTCAAGTACCTACCTACATTATATAAACCAATTTTAATAAAAAAAGATATCTATTATGGCTACATTACGTATTAGATGCATTAATTAGTAAAATTTTAAATGTAAGAAGTATTTGTTTGAATGAAACACAGTTCGTTACTACTCGATTGCGTGAACGTATTCCTATACAATTATGTCGAAATTAGTCAACTATTTTGACGTAAAACCATACAAATTAAGTTGAGCATTCACGCGAGCGTGTGAAAATAAAAATTTTCTCTTCTAAGAGAGGGGCACTTTTTTATTTTAATTTCCAAGAGTGTACATCATTACCTTATCAGGAATATTATCTAAACTCATCAATGGAAAATCTCAGTAGTTTGAATTCTGCTAAAGGTTTTGATTTCACATTTGTCATAAATTAATCCGAATAATAATATTAGAACAATTACATTAATTACACGCCAATCAGGCGCCCTTGTCCATTCGTCGGCTACGGCGTAGCTGTCTACGACATTGTAGCCAGTTACGTCGTAGCTGCCTACGTCTTCAAATCCGCTCTACGTGTTGAGCTACGCATTGTTATTTTGTTTCTCTTTGCTTGGGTTTTTTTTACAGTGTGGTAGAAATAGTCTGCACTTTTTATCCACTATGTAGTAGTACTGGGCGCGAAAATACCTAATATATACTGCCTATCTTGACATTTGAACAAAAGCTTCTACGCAACGACTATAAAACGCTCGAAACCACACATTGAGTTGAAATAAAGAATTTAGAGCAAACCAAATTAGCAACGAGAACAGCGTAATTGTAAATTCGCATTATGCATTAGACATTAGCTAACCAGGCTCAGTTTTGTAAGAGGCTTGCGCTCGATTCGGATAATTACAAATTGCTCTGCGATGGGCTATATGTAATAGAAACTGCCGCCGTTACTGCATTTACAAGGTACGCTAATATCCTAAATACATTTATCGCAGCGGTATGATAATCGTTTAATTTTGACTTATTCGAATCGTTGTTGTATTGAGAATGGACTACAAATTAGTTATTGGTTTAGTTTTTAAGGCTAGTGTCTTATACTTCAATCAAGTGACGGGTAACAACGGTAATAAGAGTTTTTAAAATATTTATAGGTTGTCCGAAGCCGATCCGCGGACGCGTGTCCCTAATATGTTAGGGGCGAATTGTGCAGGGCGAGGGCATTACATATTTATCGGGGTCACGACTCGCAACTTGGGGTCAGTCTTCAGCAGACCGAGAAGGCAACAGGTCGTTTCGAGGCACTTATGCTAATATGTAGAGCATGAATAAAAAGGTTAGCTTATTTCGGCCACCCACGCTGCGGTTATGTTTCAATATTATCTCTGAATTATACATCGGTATAGCGTGATTTTTAGTTTATACCTCAATTCATATCTTAGTATGACCCTTTCAGCATATACGTAAGTTCTTATGAAATGCCTATTTCTAAATACATTATTATTTGTAGACGGGTTGAGTGAAAAATAGTTGAGATTAAAAAAAATAATAATAAGTTTTTAAACGCTAGCGGCACCATTTGGGCTATTTCTTAATTCAAACGCCTTAAACGATCAGACATAAGTTCTAGTAGCTTTACAATCAAGATTATAATGAAAATTTGAGGCTAAACGTAAATATTAATTGCGGTAATTGATCTAGTGTAGACATTAAACATATAACTTAGCACCTAAATTATTTATTATTTTCAATGAGTCAGTAGTCAGTGAAAAGTGACTGCAAAACGGTTCGATGAAACCGCGAGCGTATTAATTCACCGGCTAAATGCATGGTGTAGCATATATCAGATGTGTGGCGTTATTGGCTTTTGATTGAAGCTTTTCAATCACATTCAGTTTCAAATACGGTTAAAATTCAGCTTAGATTTCTTTAACTGATCTGCGTTAATTATTTGTATAGTATTTAGACGGAGTAGAATCAACTACATCTAACGAAGCATTTGCACTACTTTTGCTATATATTAGTCACATGAAGAATTAAAAAAAAAACTTGTAAATAAAAAATTACCTCAATTTTATGTCAGTTCGTCGTTAGTTCACGGCTTTGATTTAAGAACGGATAAAAATGAATGTTGAGTATCTTGCCTGACTACATTCGTAAGTCACAAACATGAATAAATTAAACAAGAATACTCGTGCAACACTCTGTTCCTTTTCTTTAATGTAAAAATATTATCGTAGTATTCAACTCCAACTGTCAGTTTATTTACCAATCGCTCAAACTGCTACAGTATAGTTTCGTTTAAAATTAACAATATTAACAAATAGACTGCTAAAATATATTTTATTTTCATAACAGATATAAGTAATATCGTAACACTTGAATAGGAAAATTGTAAAAGCCTTTTGTTCTATACTAACTAAATATGATTATATGCAGTTACAATATCTTGACTGTTTGTTTGTAGGTTAATAGAACCTGCCGATTGAATTTGCTTCTATGTAAGTTCAAGCTCAAAAAATAGAACTGCTTGATACGTTCAATTATCTTCATTAATAATTTAAATGTAGGAGGATAAGGCTTATTGAAACAACTGTTACGTACTGAGTAGGTGTATTTTTGCTACTTGTGACATCTCTAGAACTAAACTAAGATGGCGTTTATATAACGACTTACAAGTACGAGTGGACTTTTTAAAAGTAGGTTTTGCTCCAGTATCAATTGAGGTTTTCATTACATTCATCATACAATCTGGCCTGAAAGTCAATGGAATATATTCAATATATCCAACATTAATTTATAATTAATAGATATAGTATTCACAAAACATAAATTACAATACATATTAAATGTATGACTACACGATGTTGATTACACTATAAGGAAATACATTCTATAAAGCTCGTGAAACATTCTATAGGTCAAATCTAGCCGTTTTAACGGTTTAAAAATCACATGCAATATTAAATAGTTGGTTAAAACTTCAATACGGACCGACAATTATTAAGGGGAAGGAGTTTCATTATACATAATAGACATATCATATTGCAAAGCACAATAGTGATCGAGTACCATTTCATCATCATTTATAGATCAATAATTCATCAAATTAACTATCGATAGAAGCAGTGTAAACATAACACAAATATATACGACACGCGTCTGTACGGGGTCCGTCAATATTGAACGAAACAGCAACAACTGGGCACATCAGGAGTTATTGGTTCAGGCCGGTTGGACTCTCCATTGTTTGTCTTCTGCACACAGTATATTACTTGCACGTCTTCACAACGATTACTATTTCTTCCACCTGGGAGCTCCTCTTCGGAAATGGTGTCATTACGCCGTGTTTTATGAAGTTCGGTCACTTTAGCTAAACCTTCACATAATAAGGAAGGTTTAGTAATATTGTCAGTGGGGTGTCGTGACATGATCATAGGACGATAGGCTCCGCCGGGTCTTCTCTCGCCCGTCATGCACTTGGCCTGACGCTATCTACACCACTCGCACTCAAATTACATTGGGACTGTAACGAGTCCACTTTCGTAATTTAATCCTATGACCTTCATTCGTCCTCTAACTTGTTGTGAGTGCTCCAAAGTTAATTATTAACTGTAAATCTTATATTTTGGAATCGAAATTTTAATAAAATATTGGAAAAGCAAAAGAATTCAGGGATTAAATGGAACGTTAAGACGATGCGTACAAAATTGGTTTCGTTTAATCGATCACACAATAAATTAGCTATAATCGCCCGAGATCGCCGACATTCCTGCTACGAAAGAATCTCGCTATTTTCATTAGATCGCTAGTTTAATTAACGAATTCCGAACACTAATTTCGGAAGGGAACGTTGAGTTGTCCGGTGCTAATTGCTATTCATAGATGTTTCCGCCGTACCTTTGAAAATAACTTATCCATTCGCCAGTTTTCAACGGTGGGTCTGCCAATTTGTCGGTAATTTTTTTTGGTTACCTTTATTCCTATCAAAAAATTTAAAACCGAAATATCTATAGAGTAGAATATTCCATGTTACCGGAAACTTGACATGATTAAACCTAGAGTTTAAAAATCGAAAATAAATTGAAGAAAATTTCGACTCGGGCAGGACTTTCCGTTTACTTTACCAATTGAGCTACCGAGTAGAGCAACAGCACGGAACGCAGACGACGCCGGTTCTAGTCCTGCCCGAGTCGAAAAAATAAATTTTCAATTTATTTTTGATTTTTAAATTATATAGTGCCTTCATGTGCAATAACATGTAAAAAATAATAAAGTTTTCAAAGCTAGAGTTGTAATAAAACGTGTAAGAATGGCTACAAAGGTCTTCAAATAAATTAACACGGCTTTGGATATCACGCAGGTATAAGTTGAGTTTTATTTGGACAATAAACCGAGTACAATGTTATAGGTAGTTACTGTCCGGCGAAATAAAATTTTATCTATTCTAGGCCATCGCGGGCCTCTATTGAAATAATAAATTCCCTTTATGTCCACAAAAAGGTTAACGCAACTTAAATAATAATATTTCGGAGCTTCCCTTTCGTGATACTCGTTTTTGTAAATAATGTTAGGTTGTACGAAAACGGATACGCGTTTAGGTCACGGTAATAATACCTGGTTATACGAAATTTTTCTTGCGAAGAGTAGAGTACTGTGCGGCAGTAAATAACGTTTGTATATAACTCTAATATAAAAGAAGCTTGATCTATTATTGTTAGGTATAATCTATCCTGTGTTGTTTTAATTGTCAACTCGAAATACTGATTAATTAACGATGCGCAGTGAGCTTTCAATAGAACGAAACAATACGCGTGTAGCATATCCCACCAAACGCAAATTTTCCCCACGCTCATAGAATTGCGCGACGTGTCCTTGATGAACTTTGTTTCCTTTTAACATTATCGTGTTTATTTTAGTCAGCAATATAGCAACTATGATCCTTTTTGTTCCTTAAATGCGTAACCTCACCTCTGGTGAAGTTGTATCTACCTGCAAACAAGGTTTAATCAAACAATAGATAGCATCCGATGGCAAACTTCGCTCCAGTTTACACTTTATAATTGAGTTTTAAATTTATTGTTTCGAGTTGCGAACGTGGACCGTTTAGGAACAGCTTTTAAATATTGGGGAACCGATGCGCGAGAAATTGAATTAATGTGTAGGCAATGTAATCCATTACAACGTCTATTAATTGTTTTCTGTGAGATTAAGCAAATCACACCAAAAATCTACATCTCGTTGTTTGATGCCAAGATATCGCTGGAAGGACGCCGTGGAGAAGGACCTGCGCGAGCTCGGTGTAGCCGAATGGCGAACAGCCGCACAGGATCGGCAAAAATGGCGCTCTTTAGTTTCGGAGGCCAAGACTCACTTTGGGTCGCTGCGCCAGCGGAGTAAGTAAGTAAGTAAGTTGTTTGATGCGCGAAAAAAGAAAATCGTCACTGAAGCAATAAGTGCATTTTTCAGCTTTATGTTCTTGTTCTTTGTTCATTTTTCCTAACATTGTAATATTCGTCAGTAGTTCAGTTAATGTAACGGTAAATAAAACACTTTAACGGTTTAAAACGCGATATATTTTGGTTAAACTTTGCAGCAGACGTGATCGCGGATGTTTCTTAAGTCTTCTCAATTGCTTCGCGTACCAATCTTTTATTTAAATGTGTACTACACGCGTAAACTACAGACAGTATTCAATATAACGTATAGATGTAATTAATGACTATAAAATATATGCGCAATGTAAGGTGCCTTACAAAGAAAGCTTTTCCTGTATTTGCCCAGATGCTATTTGCAGAGTGGCGCCCCGTCGCCGATCACTGCCTTCGAATCTGCGACTGAAGGGCCGACAGGTCTTTGCCAGCCCACACAGCTCCAACAAAGGCTTATTACCTTGGCTCGACAATTTAGTATTCGGAGTCGCCTTATTATACTGTCAAGGATAGGATTCATGTATGTTATGTACAATTTATTGAACTTTGGTACTGCGTAATAATTGTGAAATAATTAATTAACGATTGTTAACTATTACATTCATATACGGTGCGACACATTGATTTGTAAATATTAACCTACATTAACCATAATAAATAATGTGAATTCGGATTGTTCTCCGATTCTTACCTCGGTTTAATCTATCTCATACCTACAAGCAGTTTGAATTATTCCTGTACGCCTTGTCTTTTTGGAAGACACAAATTCCCTTGACATATTATTTCCGTGTCTACATTATTATTTGTCTATAATGATTACGTATGAAAGGGATCGAGTCACAATTAAGATCGATTATGAGCGTTGGAGAGATCCATGCAAGATCTGTTGCAATTTGCCACCGTTTCGTTTAGATTGAACATCGAATATATAATATCGTAATAATTCAAGGTAAAGACTTGGCTAGTAAACGACGCACTAGACCCAATTACTGAAAGCCCACCTTTGTCTTAGCAAATATCGACACGGAGCGTAACGACGTATCGCCTCGTTAATAGACTAAGACGGAAACTCGTAAGCACGGCATATCGTCTCATTTGTGTAATTACTCGTCGAATACATCGCTAATAGGCTCCTCACGTTACAGACAAAGGGAGGGATTAATCGGCCCCACCCCTCCCCCGTGGAAGGGCTATAAAGCCGATGTTATCAGTCCATTTCCACTGTTCGTTCCTTCGTCTAATTTATGCAGATTGAAATGTAAATAGATGTGATCTTATACGAGGGCTCAGGTAGAACGACCCGTTTCTACAAATTTCGCAATTTATTTAGAATAAACCCGAATGTAGAGCTCGTAGTTGTGTTGGGGAGTGAAATGATTTATTTCGTTTTTTATTTTAAATTACTTATCAACTTTACACTTTTATACTCGCTACAAGTGTCACCGATCAAATGAAAACTGCGCTAGATAGCACCTTAAATGGCGGGCGAAATGGCGGGAGCCAGTTAGGCGAATAGTTCTGCTCCATTACATGACTCTCTGACGTGACACATTCGGCTGAGAACAAAAATCAGCTTCGTAATCTTTCATTGCTTATTTTTATTATAATGTCATAAAATAAAACTTCACGATTCTTCCGGAATCATATGATCATTAAGACATTTATTTACGCAAGCAAATCTCCTGACGGAGCAACAACATTGTACTTCTTGGAAACATATTAAGCGACTGCGCTGGGACTCGTCGAAGAGCTCCTTGTTTACCCATTTTTCTACGAGATAACTTATAATAAATATATATATGACGATCGCATTTAAGAACTGAGTATATTGTTTTTTTAACCATATACTATTAATTTATTATAATTTCTATTCTATTATAATTTATGTAAGCATTTTGCACAATCGGTCGCTTTATTGTCTTCTAAATCTTTCGGTTCGATATACACATAAATGGAGAACACACTCAATATATTCATAGAGTTGTCGTTAGGGTCAGAGAGAACAAACAGGGATTTCGTGAAAATATCTGTACAATGTAATCCTTTCTGAATACTGAATAATGAGAAGAAAATATTTTTCGAGGGCCGTGCGAGGGCTAGAGGTCGATGGGAGATTAAGAATCGCCGAGTTCGATCCCGATATTGAGTGCTTCTCTTATTACGAGGAAATAATAATGTCTCCTTAAGGGTTGAAGAGGTTTCAATCTGTCGCTTCGATCTATAAAGAGAGCGGGATGTCAACGGTGTTCGAGGTCAACAAATTATGAACGCTTCTCATCTTTTCTTAATTCCTCCGTGCAACGATGATAGGCCACGGAGCCCATAAAATGGGCGAGGCAGTGTCGGCTTAAGGTGCATTCCGCTGAGCTTGCTTAATCAGCGGTGGAAGCGTCAAAGTGTTCCCAACTGGTGGAGTAATAAAGTTCCCGGGGCGCTTCTGTGCAGGTGACGTCAAGACACTGCTAACCACTTTATGAGGGATTTAAATACGGTCTCTTCTGTACTCGACGTACGATAGAGCCAACACAATAAGGGTTGTGTAACAAAACGCTGATATGTACAAATGTGAAAAAGTAAACGCACGGTTACGTTTTACGTATTTTCCATTTTGTATCCAGTATTTCGTCGTTCTTTAGTCGCGTCAAAAGTGAACTTTTATACGCTTCGTAAATTCTGGTCGAGTACGGTTCGGACCGTGGCCGCATCTGTGGATCCATCCATCTCATTCAAATTTCCCCCCAAGTTTTTATTGCTCGTGTCTTGTTTTAGTGCTTACCGCGTAACTCTGTCAGCTCACCCGCATCTCCATTAGCCACTCGATAACCTCACTAGCGTTTATCTATCCGCCCGAGCCACTTAAATTTCATCTTCAGAAGGGCTCCTAACGATCGAAGTAAAGTTCGCGCTATAAGGTTAGGCAAACACAACAAGGTTTCATATCTTCTTTGGTGTATAAATAATACATATGCGACGACATCACAGCGCTGGCAAAGACAAACAAAGGCGGTGTTATCATTGCCAAAATCTATCGAATGAACGCTTTA